CCGAACGCCAGTCGGATGCCATCACAATAAATGACTGAGAACTTATAGAATACGGATATTACTATAAAATCACTGAACTCATCAGATAATTGAAATTGTTGAAATTAAATATTTCAGCATCTCAGAGGCGGTGGCGGGGTCGGGAGGGTGGGCCACCGCCTTGAAATGAGGAAATTGGGGAATGTGTTTAGCTTCCTCATTGATCTTTAAAACACCTTAGTGGGCCATAGAAACAAAATTTTAAGTAATATTCACCCGACGTCAGTGGAAAAACATTTCCTTTTCATCAAAAAATGGAGACAGAATCAATAGGATAGATAATTTTCAGTAAGATTTGAGGTAACACTTTTTCAACGGATTGTCATCGAGGAAAAGAATTTGTGTTTTTTGGCTAGAGGATAAATTTGCGACGCCGGGTGAATGGGTTGCCGCTATAGGTGGCGGCAGGTATGGTTGGAGGTGGAGTGGGGTAGGGTGGGAGGTGAGGGTTGATCCTTATCATCAACAACGGATCCATAAAACGATAGTATAGCTTCCCGTAGGTTATCAAGCAAACGTTTACCTTATTAACACTCTCAGTCGGCCCAACAATCAGCGAAGTACCCGTATTGACGATTCCTGCAACTGATCCGGAAATCGCTTGATTGCCAACTCTCACCTCGTCCATGCCGATTTGCCAGTACGTTTCAGCTATTAACGGTACCCATGTCAAATCACCCTTCAATATCACTGATGAACGGTATAGTCAGTTATCATCTTATTAAACTGTGACTGCATCAGCCAACGATACAGTTTCATTGAGTTTTAGGCAGCAGTCAGTCTGAGCCGTTTGAATCAGATGAAGTAATCTGTTTGTAGAATTGCCATTGAATCGGATGATTGCATGCTAGCATATTGCAACTAACCATTCGTTATCGAGAATCCTTTCGACATCTCTGTCTTCTCTGCCTTACAGTGGCTATACTTTTGTCGTACATATTGAGGATGCTGGGCAAGGAAATCAACCAAGTAAACCGTTCCATAGATAGTTTATGCTGTTTTTTTTCATCCTGTTCAATGTTTTACGTCAGGTAAGCTTAACAAGTGCGGGTGCGGACAACAAAAATGCTAAATGCATGTGCTGGACTTTTGTACAATTACTACAATCGACTATTTCTCGTCATATTCATGCGTTTCCCTTGAATGCATTACAGGAACTTATCAGCTGCTTTTTGAGCATCTCAAATATTTCGAAATTTTTTGTTCGGAATGCTCTAAACACATTTCTTGCATTGCTGCTGTGTTTGAGCATCCAAAAACGCTTATTTATCGTTATTTTTCTTGTTCGTTTTCATTTTCGTTGTTCACAATTCTATTGATTTCATTTCAAAGGACTGATGCAGTTTCTGGTGAAAGATCGGCTTGTCACGACGAACGAACACATCACCACAAATGTCATCCGCCGATTGCTTTTTGACAATCTTTTTTCACTCGATTCAGTCTTTCAAAGCAGCAACCAAACAGAATTTTATTGACTATTTGCATTGACATTTGTTTCTCACTCTATTGATGCCACTTGCACTAGTTTCGTATCAACAGTGATTCTGACGGCGGTGAGCGTGTTCATGCTATTCATATTTAACTGAATCGTAGTCAATTTATTCTCGACTAATTTCTTCTAATATCTCATTGTTTTATTGCAATTCGAACAAACGATTCTACATAAGCGGATATGAATGTTTGAGAATGCTAACATCCTTTTACTAATTTCACTCATTTTCAGTGCTCTTCCATTTCGTGTTTGTATTACGAAGTGCAGTGTTTGGAGAAGAGTGGAGAACCGAAAGCTTGTTTTCGGTGGCCACCGACAAGAAGAATTTTAAGTGTCAATCGTATTCGTTGAGTAGTCATTGACCCAACTCTAGTTTGAAATAGGCAAATGCAAACTCTTGCTTTTGCTCTAGGATCAATAAACGTTGTAATTGAATTTCTGCGACAAGATTCGGTTGCTACTTTTTACGTCAAACTATGTTCTGTGCGTGAACAAAAAGAAAAAGAAATTCGATTGCTTTGTCCGTTTGTAATAGCCACTTTTTGAAGCGATAAACAGTACGAGAGAATGTTTTATGGTGATGTAATTTTTGGAGATTTGGTAAGAGATGTGAAGCAATTCTCCAGAAAACTGTTGATGTCACATGGTAATTTGTGTGCAAGAGGGATGCGATTCGACCACGAAAGTTTCAGTGCGACTGCACAAAACCAACGAACCAACGAATGAACGTTTTCGAGAGCTTGTTGTTAAAAGTTTCATCATCAGTTAAGTTGTGCTATATTTTGGCTGGTGGACGAAATAAATCAATGCTTATCACATTGTGTTGAATCAACAACGAATTTCGAGTAGTTAGTGAATTGCAAATGGATTCGCTTAAGTTACTCGTTGCCTATTCAGTTTGTTACATACATATTCACTTTGTTCACCAACAACCCAACAACAGTTTCTTCAATATCGCCCGAATCTTAGACTTTCTAATTTGCAATGCATTTATTGCCAACCCACAAAAATCGCTACTAGCCAACCAGCCAAACCACTGCTGATGTCACATCCAATCATAACAATCCGTCAGTAATTCTTCACTTATGCGATGCGACGTCTTTGCTTTCATATTCTTGTTTGCTGAAATGTTTGACTGACTGCCCTTAGGGTTCAGTTGCGTGCTCCTTATTGGTCTAGAAATTCCCTCTTAGAGATTAATTGAGCATGTCTCAGTGATATGTGAGAAGAAAGTTAACAGATTGATCGAATGACGAAGGTGGACGTTTGTAGATCCTTGATCCACTGCTTAGAATTCGTCGATCATCTTTTTGTAAAAATCAATTCCTTTTGATCGAACAAGCATTTTGCAAATACTGTGGAAAACTGGAATTAAGAGGCGAAAAATCAATCAACGATGAATTCACAACCTCTTCAATATTTCCCTGACGCTCTTAGTTTTCTCGCGGGTGTAATTTCCTTCATATGAGAACCATTGATTCAGATGAACGGAATTTATCCTGCTGGTTCTCTATTTCGTGACTATTTCATTACTGGTATGTCGGTGATTTGTTTACTATTTATTGTGTCTGTCCCAAAAATGTCTCATAAACGAAAAGCCATCGTTAAGGCCATTCACTTCCCATTCGGATGTGTATGCACACTGGAATCTGAACAACCCGTCCGCAGATACCAACTGCATTGACATGTGTCTATAAACGCTGGATCCGTTTGAAACGTTTCGTAATTATCCCTCTTCTTGTTCACTCTTTTCACTGAGCAATGTCTAGCGGATGTTGTTCGTTTACAATTGAAATTACACGATGCATCATCTCATTTCTTCGTATTTATCACTATCTGCTCTGTTCCAATACAAGTATTCATTCGCTTACTCGTTTTTTCATTTAGTATTTTCATCCTTTTTTTGGAGATAAATGATGCGAAGATTCATTGGATATGATGCGAAAATTGTGTTATCTGTTTTTTTCAATGATACTTATTATTTCTTCCAGATAATTGTTATTATTATTTTTTGATTGCAATTCAGTCAACTATGTAAATAATGATTACTAATGACATAACTGATAATTGCGATTATTAATTTCAATTTATTTTGATTACGTTGGTCGGTTGAACTTTCACCTGTTACAACAGCTAATATTATTATTGATTTGTATTGAAAACAATGTTCTTATCATTGTTTTGAATTTTTCAATTGTTCCTCTTACGTATAGTGCTTGCAAACAAACACCTATTCATCAGCATCACGCATGATCGATTTTGTGAGCAAGTTTCATTGTTGACTTCTTTGAAAAGTCTCAAGTTTCCATTGAAAACTTGTTTCTTGGTCGTTGTTTCTTTATGAAATATGTATCGTTGAGCTTATGGGACATGTTTTGGAATTATGCATTATGGTTGAGACTGAGACATCATGGGACGCTTCAGTTGGAATGATGGAACTAATTGTGACATGTTTAGGTGACACATTATTCACTCGAGCAGTTCAGTTGGGATCGAGTGCGGAAACTCAAAAAAAAACGAATACCAAAATCGATGGAAGTATCATAGTGATGAAGCAATTAGCAATTCGAAGTTCGCTAATTTGAGAGTGAATGAATGAACAGTAATGAAGTGAACACGGCGCTACTGTGTTTCAGTTTCTTTCAGAATGCCTTCTGAATTATCATCTGACGAATCTAGTGCAATACCATTCATCGTTGATTGCTGCTGTCCGTTATGCTTTGTCGTGTTTTTCATTATTTCAAATATCTCATCTCTTCATTCATATGTTCGTTCGTTCATCCGTACATCCTACCATACAAACCTACGAATGAATGTGCTCTCGTTAGTTCATTAGCCAACTCATGCATTCATTCAATCATCCGCGCAACCAACAAACATCATGCTTCCCTCTTCACCAACACTATACTATTTTTCAACCATTCTCGCTTTCCCGAAACAATCTTCATTTGACTGATGGTTGCAGTTGCCCAACAGGGAAGGAGTGTCAATCAGTCCAATTATGTTTGCCTTTTTTATGTATGGATATTTTCGGATCGAAAGGGTTTCAAATTTATTGACGGACTGACTGTTCAGCTTCAACAAAGAATAAAACTGAAAACGAGATTTGAAACGACCACGACAAAGATTGCTGGTTCTCATTGGATGATGTGAAAGAAATGTTCGAAGTGGAAAATTCATTGTTGGCTTCATAGGAATGTGTCAAAGAGGCTGTTCTAATATCGCAACTTGTCTCTCACTAACTCCAAATAATTGTTTCCATCTCGAAAAAATTAATGAAAAACGAATCCTCGAAACGCAACACGGTGTTTCTCATTAGTTAGGGTGCTACATACAAATTTGTGTGTGAAAATTTGGTTGAACAAAAAGCCAAACTTCATTTGTGATGAAATATCAGCAATGAGATTCATAATCTAACAAAAAGGGATTAAAGGTCTACAGCATTGCTAATAAGCAGAAGAGTGGACTCGTAACCTCGTTTGAAAATGCATCTTGCTTATGAGTGTTTGACTGCACTCGTTGATGAGTTAGTTGTCTTCTGGGTGACTGACTAATGTCTATTTGATGAAATCAGATCAACAAATACGACGGACGATGATGATACACGGCTGAATAACGGATCACTCATTAAGCTGCTGCTGTACTCTTCGAGCAGTCGGATTAACAACATCCACAGAACAACAACACATTGTGTAAATATTTATTCAGTACTTATGACAATCACATCAACATTCGTTTGCATCACTGCACACTCTGATGAGAATGTAACGTCTTAACGAATGATCCCGATTCAAAGTCGCACTTACCATTCAAGTAGAAATGCTTTGAGACTTGATTCGCTTCCACGTTTCTGATCGCATCAGTTTAAATCAAGCGAAAACCATCCGTAAATAATCACAGTCATAATGATCTGAGGATAACAATGCTTTCGTATGCTTCGCTTCCCAGTGGTCATAAATTCGAAGTAGGATTTTTGTTTTTGATAAGTTTTATGATTGTTCTACTGCATCATTGAAACGTTGTCATCCAGTTCGTTTGTGTTATCATCCAAACGTTATCATTCAATCTAAACGTTATCCAATTTATCATCCAACTAGAATTTTTATCCACACATTCTTAAATTCTTCTTGTGACCACTCCTCATTGCCATATTTTTCATTTTTTTTACTAAAACAGTCATGCTTATTATCCAGCTGGATGGAGAGGGCTAGAGCTGACTGAGAATGTTTCTCGTTTGAAGATTGATTTGAACTTTATCACATGGAAGAAGTTAAAGAATATACTATATATGCGGTGTTCTCATCGAGCACTTTATTGGTCAGTTCATAGTTATTTCAACAGAACATCTATCGAACCGCTTTTAGTGCGAGAGGCTGTCAATACTGAAACTTAATTCTGGTAGTAAAAGGTTTGCAAAAGGTTTTGCGTTTACTAATAAAAGCGTTTCGAGCATCTGATTACGTAGCCAGACAAATCATATGATGAGGAGTTGGATTAATTCAGTTTAATAGCACAATGTCTGAAAGACACCATCCGTTAGTGTGGAATTTATTGTGAGCAAGGTGAATTCAACAACTGTTTCAAATCGGATCGATTTCGATGAAATTTCAGTCAATAATCGATCAGTTTGGTCAAGGTTATCGTTATTCACGTTGAATGTGATCAAGTTAATGCGTTTCAAGTCCAGTGTTCTTTCATTTTACCGCAAGTTCTCAATGCTTTCCAAAAGTTTCTATTCTGGTTTGTGAACGAAATTACCTTCGAAGTTTTCGAAAACATCTTTCTCGTTTATTTCCAATTGCAATTAGTTGGATGGATTTCTTCTGCAGTGAATTCTTTCATCGGAATAATTTCAAAAAATTTGTTCTAAGTCACTCACACTTCCATTTTGTTCACAATCGATCACCTTAAAATATTCGTAGTCAAAACGTAATTATTGGCTTTTTCCCGTGAGCTGACTATTTTGTGCTAGATTTCCTAATTTGTTCGTTGCAAAATTGTCAGTTGCATATTTCTTTCCGAAAACAAGCAATAATATTCGAACGTATCTTTTCGCAAGATGAACTCTAACAAAATATGCAATTTATCTTTTGTTTTGTTCGTTCATCAACTAATTATGCTATCTCATTTATTTGGTTGATTCGTTTATCGAACGAGTACTAATGATTTCAATTCATTCGATTGCTATTTTGAGTGTCCTTCATTAGTGCTACGTCGGATTTATGAAATGTACTCTTTGAAGTGCACTTTGCAATGAAAATAAAACGAATCTGTTTCGTTCATTTGATACTTCACAACTGCTGGAAATTATCAAACGAATCCGCTCACAATTGTGCGCTAATTAACAATTTCGTTTTTGTTTCAAAATCAACGCATTCAGTGCGAATGATGTGTGGGATATGTCTGTCGGTAACGATTGTTGCCTTTCATTTGGGAGCGATGTCCAGTGCGTACAAGCACATCACTGTCACGGATAAATCTCATCCGGTTTTATGATGGATGTGCACAATTATAATCTTCAGTCTTGAATGGCCTCCGTCTGACACCAATGAGTCTGTTTCTGCAATGATATGAAACCAACTGATTCGTTTCTGAGGGGTTCTGGAACACATCGGTGGTGTTCGATAGTAGGATGAACAAGAGACCATTAAAGTTCACATTCATTATTACCACGTCGGATTTATACAAGTGCATTTTGTTGATGAGTACGAACTGGAGGAAAAAATCAGATGTCATAGATGTGTTTGATGATTAGCGATTTGATATGCGATAATGATTACCAATTTGGATGAAGTGATTACCGATTTGAACGCTTGTATGAATGCACATCGCATTTTCTCTATCAATTTTGTTGCATACCAGCAGCACTGATGTTGTTTGCACATGATTTCATGATAGTGCATGAAAAACTCTTCGTTTTCACCGTCAAACACGACGATTATCTGCATATTCCTAGTTTTGTTCTTCAACCAATACAATAATTATGATGTGAGATTCAATTGGCCGTTAAGCAAATATAGAGCATTAAACAGGATTCAACAGCCGGTTGATTCGATCATCATTTACAAAATTTCAGCTTTCATTCTAATTCAATACCTGTGTCATTTATTGCAAGTCAAATTCTGCGAAATTCAATGAGTCCTTCACCAAATAAATTTAAAGACAATTGTTGCAATGGGCATATTTTAAAGGAATGAATGAGAAGAAGAAAAGGTGTTGTTGTCTTTAAAATACTTTTCAATCATTGAATAGGTAATAAAGGCGATGTTTTGTTATGAGACGCCTACTATCACCGATAACACAATGGCGTTCCTAATTTAACATTCTCCAAACCGAAATCTCGTAAACAAATTACTTCCATTCAGTCCAGTTTTATAAACCCCCATGAAACCGTTTAAAGTTCCCTCTGGCTCTCCGTATTTCCTCTTTCCATCGAATCCTACATAATTTGCAGTCAAGAAATCTTGAAATCTACGCGAGCTATTTGGGATCATATGTCAAAGTAAGTTATTCGACAGTATTTCAAGAGAAATATTGGTGATTCTTAAAGAATTCGTGAAATAACTGCAGCTATCACACCACTAATTATTGATAGCATCCGAGCGAAATTTCATGTCAGTCGGAATCCAACCGATATAACTCTTCAATCGGTCGGAAATTCACATATCATCCTTCCGAAATTCAGAATTCCAATCGACCTTCCAGATTTTCCGGTTAGAATCCGAATTTCGGTCGGAATCCCACCGAAATTTGTCGGATTCTTCCGATCGACCACTGGTCGGATGCCTTCCCACTACCTCTAATAGATGACTCACAGAGATGACGAATGCAGAGAACATTTTCAGTTATAACTTGAAAGTTACAGTTGATAACTTGATATTTCCAAATAAGAGGTTTGAGGTGGGGCAAGCCTTATTTATAGCAACTGATAGATTGATGGTGAGGGTAAAAAAGGGTGCAGATTAAAAGATGTGGACGAAGGATTCGATGGATTAGTTTTGTGCGATGAATGAAGTGGGCTAGTCAGTGGGATTTTTTTATGCGCAGATTTACGATGAGGATTAAACGTAGTAAAAATATTCTATTGAATGGTTCCTTTCACGTTCGTTTCAACGTCATTTGTAATGCGATTCATCGAAAAATTTTGGTCCGCCTTCTGAAGTAAAATAAAAGACAATATGATTATAAACTACGACTATCAATAGCTATATAAAACTTCTCATAAGAACGCTAATTTCACAAACACTATCGAAAAATGTATTTGTTGCAGAATTTATTTGGGCATCTGAAGTTTTCAACGAAAGTGAATCAGCACTAATCGATGAGAAGACTTGTTAATGAAGAAACTCGAGTCTTAACGGAGTAAACTTTTGGAAGCAAACTAAACTTTACGAGAATGTTCAGAATTTTGAAGGAGGCTTATGCAGCGCAGCTAATCCCAACTTTGTGGTCAGTCAACATAGCATGTATTGTATATGTGAATTGCTAGTTGAAGAATGTTTTTGCGTAGTAATATGTCATTTATTGAATAGAACACTTCCGTCCGTTACATCTTCTTCCATCCATCCATACAAACATCCACTTACAATTGATAGTTCGGGTTTATTTCAGTGCTATTGCAGTGTTTTCGTTTCACATATTAGCATAACGAGCGGTCGGCCGGCAGCACTAGCGCATTACAAAAAGAATAATGCACGAAGGAAGGAAAGAAACCATTGCGCGAGCAATACAACAAGAACACAGCACTTCTATATGACTCATTGCTAATCTTATACGTTTGTGTCAATACACAATATGAGCACTTATTGAGACGACGACGTTTTATCATCATTAAGACGCTCTTTTAACACATTCATTCTCGGTCGTATGCGCTTTTCATGTTTCTTTCAGAGTTTATGATATTTGTTTGCTTTTATCAAACATTTCTGCTGATTTTGAGCACTTGATAAGTTTTTGTGAGTGTATTCACCTAATCATTTATCAATGATGTTCAAATTGTGCACTAAACAAGAGTCATAAGCCTTTGAACGTTCATTACAACAAAAACTTGATTTTCACACGCCTACGTTTCCCTTTCTTCGTCGTGCTTCTTCGTATGCAATACGCGTAGTAGTTTTTATGAATGTGCTGATGATGAGGAATTTTTTCGAAATATTTTTTGATTACTTACACTATGAATTGTTGTTGTTGTGTTTTCATTTGCCGAATCAAGAAAGACTTCTCAACTAGAAACTAATTTTTCGTCGTGCCACAATGCAGAAACATTCCTTTATTGGCGTTCGCCGATCATTTCAACAAGTTTATAAATGCTTGTTGATATCAGTATTGCATTCATTAGTTCATAAGATTGTTCCAGTGCGTGCATCAAGACATCAGCACCATTCATTCGTATTTATTGTACGGCTTATATGAGTTGATTATTTGCAGCTTTGAATTTTTGCTTGTTTGTTTGAACTTTATTCAAGCAAAGAATGTTGAATGA